GCTGCCGCCGCCGCTACATGCCCGCCGCCGCCGTTGGGGCCGTTGTTGGGAGCGCCGCTGCCGCCCTCGCCCGCGCCATCGCCCGCCTGAGGAGGCAGCAGCGTCGGCGGACCCTCGGGTTCTAGCTTGACCGCCACCTCCGTCTGCTCCTCCGCCAGCGCCGCCATCTTGCGGCTGAGCCACCTCGTGCCGTCAAGCGTGACTGCGTTTTTGCCACCCGGAGGGCGGGGAGAGGCGTTTCACGACAGTGAGGGCGGGGAGAAGCGTTTCACGACAGTGAGGGCAGATCACTTACGGCAGCAGGCGGGGCAAGGAGGAAAAAGAGGAGCGGGATGGTGGCTTTTTGGAATCAGTGGAAGGCAGGAAGTGACAACTGGCGAGTGTCTTATACATTATTTGCAGGCCAGCTCTCTTCAGGTACTAATATAGACATTTATAGATGAAATTCAACCACTTTTAAGGTTTTATTTTTGTCGGTCGTGGGGCTTGAACTCGGTCTGCACACTACCCCTGAGCTCCTTTTGCTCAAGGCTAGAGCTCCACTTCCGGCTTTTGGAGGAGTGATTAATTGGATCACAGGTGTGAGCCTCCAGATCGCGGCTAAAGTTGTTTCGTTTTGCCAGTCCTGGAACTTGAACTCTGGGCACTGTCCTTGAGTTTCTTTTGCTCAAGGCTAGCACTTCACCACTTGAGCCACAGTGCCACTTCCAGCTTTTTCTGCTTATGTGGTACTGAGGAATCGAGACTTCTTGCGTGCTAGGCAAGCACTCTACCACTAAGCCACATTCCCAGCTCCCGCCTTGAATTTTAATCTCAGGGATTTGGGGCTCTGGAACCCCAAAAGAAGGTTATAACATACCTTGCAAAAACAAAAACACTCAAGAGTAATAAGTGTGAAGACTCTAATCTAGGTTGTTTTTTTTTTAACTCAAAAAGAAAACACCATTTGCCAGAGACAGGCTTCTGAGATACTGGGAAAGTTTCAATTGTGAGCTGCTACTGGTTACTTTTTATTTTATTCCTGTGACTATGTAGTTTTGTGAATTTTATGCATATTAAATTTCATTTAAAACGCTTTTAAATATCAACTTTGTGGCTGTGAAATGTGCATGAATAAATGGTTGCAAACTACCATTATAATCAGTTTTATTTTCGTTTTAATTGTGTTTTTGTTTTTTTTTTTGTCGGTCGTGCGGCTTGAACTCTGGGCCTGGGCGCTGTCCCTCAGCTCTTCAGCTCAAGGTGAGCGCTCTACCACTTGAGCCACAGCGCCACTTCCTGTTTTCTGGTGGTTTATTGGAGATAGGAGTCTCACAGTCTCTCCTGCCCGGGCTGGCTTTGAACCGCGATCCTCAGATCTCAGCCTCCTGAGTAGCTAGGATTACAGGCATCAGCCACCAGCGCTCGGCTTAACTGTGTATTTTTAAATCATACACGTTTCATTGGTTATAAGGTCCTATCTCTCCCACCTCCTTGCCTTGTCCTAGAGCTTGAACTCAGGACCTTGTCTCTGTCCCTGAGCTCTTTTGCTCAAGACTAGCACTCCACATTTGAGCCACAGTGCCACTTCCAAATTTTATCTTTTCCTAAACTTGAACCCTAACCCCACACTGAAACCTGACCCTAACCCTAATTCCAAACCTGAATACTCATGGTACTAAAATACTTCAAACTACATCCATTTCACTTGTAACTCTTCAAAGCAATTTTAGATTTGCCCTAAACCTCTTTTCCTGAACTGTAAGCCCTAACACTCAGCAGAAACTTGACCCTGACCCCAAATATACCTCAAATAGTAAAGCAGACACTAAAATTATATTTATGCTAAATTTTACTTCACTTTTAACTCTTCAAAACAATTGTAATTTTACTCTAAAACTTATCTTTTACCTAACTCTAACCCACAACAGAAACCTAACCCTAACTCTAAATATACCTCAAAAGGAATAGTAAAGCAGGCTGGAAATGTGGCTCAGTGGTAGAGTGCTTGCTTAGCATGCATGAAGCCCTGGATTGGATCCTCAGTACCACATACACAGAAAAAGCCAGAAGTGGCATTGTCACTCAAGTGATAGAGCACTAGTCTTGAGCACAGAAAAAAGGAAAAAACTGGAGAGGAATCCCACCTATCCTGACTTTCAGCCCTTATTCTGAGTCACAGCACCGTTTATGTTAGGTTTTTAAAAAGAGGTAGCCAAGTAAGAACAGCACCACGCACGTGGTATTCAGGTAAGGGGTAGGTTTATTCTTCGTTCTGGCTGGCACCAGGCCATGTTGGCCCTCCATGGGGAAAGGCCTGAGAAAGACCTGGGAAAAAGCTGGGAAATAGAGAGCTGGGAAAGACAGAGCGCTGGGAAAGAATCCATGGGACTCATCTCCAATAAAACTACTTTAAAAAAAGCTGGAAGTGGCATTGTGGCTCAAATGGTAGAGTGCTAGCCTTGAGCCAAAGAAGCTCAGGGACAGTGCCCAGGCCCAGAGTTCAAGCTGTAGGACTGGTAAATGATAATGATGATGGTAATAACAATAATAATAATTGCTTTGAAGAGTTTTTTGTTGTTGTCGTTTGGTCATGGGGCTTGAACTCTGGGCCTGGGTGCTGTCCCTCAGCACTTCAGCTCAAGCCACAGTGCCACTTCTGTTTTTTTCTGTTTACTTGGTGCTGAGGAATCGAGCCCAGGGCCTCCTGCGTGCAAGACAAGCATTCTAACCATTGAGCCACCTTCTCAGCCCTGTTTTGAAGAGTTTAAGGGCAATAAAATTAAAAAGAATGTAATTTTGGTGTCTGCTTTACCATTCATTTTTGGAATACTTAGGATTAGGGAAAAAATAAGGTTTAAAGTAAAATTAAAATTGCTTTGAAAGGGCTGGGAAGGTGGCTCAGTGGTAGAGCGTTTGCCTTGCATGCATGAGGCCCTGGGTTCGATTCCTCAGCACCACATAAGCAAAAAGAAAAAAGCTGGAAGTGGTGCTGTGGCACAAGTGGTAGAGCACTAGCCTTGAGCTGAAGAGCTAAGGGACAGAGCCCAGGCCCAGAGTTCAGGCTCCACGACGACCCCCCCCCAAAAAAAATTGCTTTGAAGAATTAAAAGTGAAATAAAAGTTATAATGAACAAAAGTTTAGTGTCTATTTTATCTTTTGTTTTGGGGTTTATTTTGGGTGTTCATGTTTGGGAAAAGATAAAAAAATAAGATTTTTTTAAAAAGATAAAAATAAAATAAACCTACTCCTTACCTGAAAAAAAAAAAAAAAAGAGTCCCATGGACTTTGCTGTACAGGCTGGCTTCAAACCATGATCCTCAGATCTCAGGCTCCTGAGTAGCTAGGATTAGAGGTGTGAACCACTAGCATCTGGCTCAAAACAATTTTAATTTTACCCTAAATCTTAACATTTTCCTGAACCCTAACCCTAACCATCAGCAGAAAACTGACCCTAACCTTAAATATACCCCAAAACAAATGGTAAAGCTGACACCAGGGCTGGGAATTAGCTTAGTGGTAGAATGGTTGCATGAAGCCCTGGGTTTGATTCCTGTGTACCACATAAACAGAAAAGGCCAGAAGTGGCATTGTGGCTCAAGTGGTAAAATGCTAGCCTTGAGCTGAAGAAGCTGAGGGATAGTGCCCAGGCCCTGAGTTCAAGCCCAGGACTGGCAAAAAAAAAAAAAAAAGCTGACACCAAAATTAAATTCATCCTAACTTTTCTAACTCCTCAAAACAATGTTAATTTTACCATAAACCTTACTTTTTCCTGTACTCAAACCTTAATCCTATACAGAAACGTGGCCCTATCTCTAACTCTAATAATATTCACATGCTAATGTTTGTGCAAATACTCCAACTTAAATTCACTCAGTTTTACTCAACTTTTAATTTTTATTTATTTTTTGGGGGGGTCCAGTCGTGGGGCCTGAACTCTGAGCCTGGGCGCTGTCCCTCAGCTCTTCAGCTCAAGGCTAGCGCTCTACCACTTGAGCCACAGCACCACTTTCAGCTTTTTTCTTTTTGCTTATGTGGTGCTGAGGAATTAAAGCCAGGGCCTCATGCATGCAAGGCAAGCGCTCTACCACTGAACCACCTTCCCAGCCCCTTTCCCCAGTTTTAAATCTTCAAAACAGTTTTAATTTTGCCCTATACCTTGTCTTTTTTTTTTTTGGCGGGGGGTCCGGTCATGGGGCCTGAACTCTGGGCATGGGCACTGTCCCTCAGCTCTTCAGCTCAAGGCTAGCGCTCTACCACTTGAGCCACAGCGCCACTTCCAGCTTTTTTCTTTTTG